GGGGATCTCAACCCTTGGCTTGGTGTTGTCAACACCACGCTCAGCTAGTGAGCCAACCGGCCATCCCTATATAGGATCCGAACCTGTGGCCTCGGTGTTATCAGCACCGCACTCTCCCGAGTGAGCCACGGGCCGGCCCCTTAAGGGTCATTTTGGATAGGTTCTATTCCTGCAATGTATAATCTGCTATTAACCCAATCTCAAACATTATAGTTTCCATCTGTAAGTTTAATTTGGGTCTTTTAAAAAATATACCTTCCAGGGGGCTGGCTGGTTAGCTCAGTTGATTAGAGCGTTGTGCTGATAACACCAAGGTCCGGATTGGAACCTTACCTGTCAGCTGCCAAAAAAAAAAAAAAAAAACCCCAAAGCCCCCCCCCAAAAGCTTCCATATGTCTCTAATTTTTTTAACACCTGGGCAGTTATAAAAAATTATTTTAATGACCTTGTGTGCTAATTCTTTTATCTGTGTCAGTTCTGGATCAGCTTCAATTGGCTGATTTTTCTCCTCATTATGGGGCATTTTTCTTTGCCTATCTGGTAAACTTTGACTAGATGCCTGAGTGCTTGTTGGTCCTGGCTATTTCTGTACTCCTACAAACATTCTTTAAAAATCAAAACAAAAAAGCCCTCCTTTTTTCCCTAGGCAGATAAAATCTTGTTTTATTTGAATGACTGATCGAAGTAATCACCAAGGCCACTATGTACAGATAAGAGAGAGAGAGCTTTATTTATTGGTCTCTTCTTCCATGTACAGTCTCATGATTTCCTCCTCTTTGGTTTGTAGGTACTCTTGACAGAGCTTGCGTGCTTCCCTGGTCTTAGACCGGAGCTTCTTGCGGGTCTTTTCTGCCTTCAGCTTGAGGATGTTCTATAATACACTTGTTTTTGAACACACTCCCCTTCACATTGAGGTATAGGCTCTCATACATGTCAACCTTAGATTCATGGCATCTTCTGAGCAGAATTCTCCTCCTCCTCCAGGTATCTTTCCTGGCATTTGAGCACTGGAAGTACCCTTTTGCTAACCTATGCCCATATGCTTGACCTTCCTGAGAGCTAAGGTGTTTTTCTGGATTGAGCTCAGGAATGCGGATTCAGGGGCTACCAGATCTGCTGACGGGAGTTGTCACTGGTGATTTCATTGGTTTCGCTGCTCTCTTCAATCTTATCAGATGATTATAGCCCCAGCCATTGGTAGGTTTTTCACACAGGTGTGCCAATCTCTGTTGAATGCCCAAGGAGGGGGCCATCCCATGGCTCACTCGGGAGAGTGCGGTGCTGATAACACCAAGGCCACAGGTTCGGATCCTATATAGGGATGGCCAGTTCATTCACTGGCTGAGCGTGGTGCTGACAACACCAAGCCAAGGGTTAAGATCCCCTTACCGGTCATCTTTAAAAAAAAAAAAAAAAAAAAAAAAAAGAGAATGCCCACGGAGAACCCTCCATAGATTTCCAGACTTCTCTCTGTGCAGCTTTCTCCTCTCCTGTACTCTATCCTGTGAACCTCAGCTGTCTTGGTCTATCCAGACTCTCAGCTCCATCCTGTCAACTCAAGGAGTCCACTGTGCCCCACCTGCATTATCCCTTCCTGTACTTGGCCTGGAAACTCTCTCAAGATGTTAGGCTGGGGCAACCATAGGGCTCATCTTATTTCTTTCCCGATTTTGGACATCACTGTCCTTCACTGTATGATGTTCAGAGTTCTGAAAACCACTGTTTCATGTATTCTAGTTTTTTTTGGTTGTTTCAGGCAAGGAGGGTTAATCTGGTCTCTCTTACTCAATCTTGACAGGAAGTAGAAGTCCCTGTTCAAGTTTTCACCAATTACATCCACATTGCTAAGTCTGATGACCAAGTCTCAGTCTTCACCTTAATGGACATAACTGCAGTTTCTGACAAATTGATCTCTTCCTCACTTTTTGCATGTAGATTCCAGGGCACACATTTACTTGGTTTCATTTATCTCTCTGGCCATTCCTTCTTAGTCTCTTTTGCTGGTATCGTTATCTACTCTTAGTTATAGAGTGCCTCAGGGTGCAATTTGAACTATCATGTGCCTATACCCACTTGACCTGGTGATCTCATCCAGACTCACAGTTTTAAATAACTTCTATAGCTAAGGAGCCTCAATTTTATATCTCCAGCTTGGGTTCCAGACTTGTATACCTAACAGCCTATTCAACATATCCATGTGGATGTCTTAATAAGCATCTCAAACTTAACATGTCTAAAACATGTTAATTCACTTCCTGTACTGGCCAGTAGCCAAACAAACAAATAAATAAATAAACAAATAAAATAAAACAGCTAAAATGTCACCTACTGTTCTCCCCCCTGCCACCCCACTTCCCCACTCTTCCTGCAGTCTTCCCCATCTCAGTTAAGGTACACTTCAGTTTCATCATTTCAGTTCCTTATGCCAAACTCTTGGAGCCATCCTTAACTCTCGTCTCTCTGGCATAGACTCTCCCTTCAAAATACATCCAGAATCCAACTACTTTTTACAACTTCCACTCACACCATCCTGGTCTAAGCTACCATCATTTTTGCCTGAATTATTGGAACAGCTTCCTAACTGGTCTTTGCCTTCCTCAAGAACCTCTTCTCAACAAGATACCCAGAGCAATCCTGTTAAAATGTAAGTAAGACCATTTTACTCCTCTGCTCAAAACTCTCTAATGGTTTCTCCATTTTACCTAGAATAAAAGCCATAATCCTTCCAAAGGCCTCACAAGGCACTACACATTCTGGCCTTGTTTCTTCACTGATCTACCTTATCTCCTGCTGTCTGCTCGATGCTGTGTTGAAATCCTTAATGATCTTTGAATACACCAGAAACACTCATGCTTTAGGGCTTTTGCACTTGCTGTTCCTTCTGTTTGAATGCTTTTCCCCGAGGTAAGTATCACACTCTTACCTCCTATGTCCAAATGGCACCTCAGTGAAGCCCTCCCCAAAGCACCTTTTGAAAGCAAACATCCTGGGCCTCTCCCTGCCTATTCTAGCACTTAGAATACATCGTTTAATATATTATATATAATCTTATTTACCTTTGTTTATTGTCTCCTCCCACTAAAATGTGAGTTTTTTTTTTTTTTTTTTTTTAAAGATGACCGGTAAGGGGATCTTAACCCTTGATTCGGTGTTGTCAGCACCATGCTCAGCCAGTGAGCGAACCGGCCATCCCTATATGGGATCCGAACCCGTGGCCTTGGTGTTATCAGCACTGCACTCTCCGGAGTGAGCCACGGGCCGGCCCTAAAATGTGAGTTCTGAGCGCAGTAATTTTTGTTGTTTCTTTTAGGCAGTGCCTGGCACATGGCAGGTACTAAATCAAAACTAGCTAAATGAATAAAATTAGAGGGTTTTAAAAATTGTTTGGAAAAAGAGCCAGCCCATGGCTCACTTGGGAGAGTGATAACACCAAGGCCAAGGGTTCGGATCCCTATATAGGGATGGCTGGTTCACTCACTTCAGAGAGCGTGGTGCTGACAACACCAAGTCAAGGGTTAAGATCCCCTTACCAGTCGTCTTTGAGGGAAAAAAAAAGAAGAATGTTTGGAAAAGTGTTCTAAATTAATCACCTCTACAAAAGTAATTTAACTGTTAACTTGAACTGGAATATCTGGCAATGGGATGAAAAGCGTTCAGGAAAAAGAGTATCAAAATCCTATACTATCTGTTGTCTGGCTTCTTCTACTTAGCATAATACTTTCAAGGTTCAATGCTGTAACATGTACTGGTACTTCCTTTTTATGGCCAAATAATATTTCATTGTTCATCAGGTGAATGAACAATGAATAATGCTGCCATGAACATTCCTGTGCAAGTTATTGTGTGGATGAATACTTTTTAATTCTCTTGGATATATACCTAGCAGAGAATTGCTAGGTCATATGGTAACTGAATATTAACTTTTAAAGGAACTGTCAAATTGTTTTCCAAAGACACTGCAACATTTTACATTCTCACCAACAAAGTATGAGGGTTCTTATTTCTCCACATTCTCTCTAATATTATTGTCTGTCTTTCTGCTTATAACCATTCTAATAGGTGTGAAGTAATACCCTGTTGTGGTTTTGATTTATATTTTCTTAATAACTAATGATGTTCAGCCATATACAGTAACTTAGGAGGAGGAGAAGAAAAAAGATTTTAAAGAGAGAGAGAGAGAGAGAGAGTGCGCACACGTGCCTGCACATGCCAGAGTGTAAGCGCATGTGCTTGCTCCAAACTCTCCACCTTAGCTGCTGGAACATTTAATTAAGTCTACTGACCTCATCTAGATCTTAGGCTTCTCACTCTTTTGTTTGAATATGGGCTTTAACATTACCATCTACACAGCTTTCTCAGAGATATGATCTCGCTTTCCTCTTCTCTATACCTTGGAGTACAGAGGCCAAGGTTCAAAGCTGATAACATGATGGGTATTTCCAGGGTACCTCACTGTAGAAAAAGGCACCTATCTAGTGTATGTGAACTCTGTAGAAAAGTAAGTATATTCTTACTCATATGTAAAAAAAAGAACCGTACAGCTGACTACCAAAAAACTACAAACTCTTTACTTAACAAGTTCGACTCTTTAAATCAGGAGAAAATTATTTTTAGATGCAGAAAAAAGGCAGACTAGGTTTCATCAACTTCCTATCCTAAATTCTTGTTCAATTCCCAGCACAAGCAAGTTTTTTTTTTTTTCCTTTTTGTCTTTTTTCGTGTCTGGCAACGGATTGCAACCCTCAGTGTCGCGCCCATACCAGACCGGACCGGCAACGGGATCGCAACCCTCGGTGTTGCGCCCGCACCTCGCTCAGCCAGTGAGCGGGAACCGGTCTGTATGTGGGATCCGAACCCTCGGCGGGAGCGCCACCGCACTCCCAACAGCGCACTGTAGCAGTGCGCCACCGGGCCGGCCCAGCACAAGCAAGTTTAAAAAAAATGTTTTATTAAAGAAAAGTATTTTTCTTACAGTAAGTCTGGTGTTTAATTGGTCTTACCCTCAAGGGATTTTCATTGAGGTATGGAGGCTCTCCTTCTACCATCTCAATAGCCATGATACCTAGAGACCATATGTCCACTTTAGGGCCATAAGCTTTCCGTGTAACCACCTCTGGTGCCATCCAGTAAGGCGTTCCAACCATGGTACTGCGTTTGCTCTGCTCAGGGGTGATCTGGGCACAGAAACCAAAGTCGGCTATAAAACAAAACAAAACACCTAGAGTTAATGGTTTCCATGGATGGTTTTATCAAAAGAGTTTATTTTAATTACATTTTGACTGCTCAGCCTCTTATTTTTTAAGATTTCATTAACAGAGTAAACAAGAATGGGTTTAAAATATTTTTATGATGCTATGTACTCTCACTTTTTACTTTTACTTTCCACAAGGAGAGTGCAAATTATCAGCAGATCTTTTATTCTGAATAATTAGTTCTATCCTAAAAAATTTAATAAAATTGAAAGAGGTCTAAATGAAAAAGTCATCAAAGGTGGACACCAAAACTAAATTCAGTGAATCAGGCAAACAGGAAATGGAAACTACTTTTGAATAAAATAAATAGAAGCTAGGATCACCAAGTACCCAACTTAGCAAAGAGTATAGAAAAAGAACACATTTAATTGCAACAATCAATAAGGTCCTCATGAGCATTAAAAAACTCACTCACCTCATTTTATAACTGAGCAGCAGGATGCCTAATTTAATACCCAATGTCAATTTAGTGGGAAAACCTGGATTAGAATTTAAAATTTTTTGTTCCCTTCCAATGTTAAACCCATTCTATTCCATATGTAACCACTGTTAACATTTAGGTTTGTAAGCTTTAGGCCTTTTGTTATGCATTTACATATGTATGAATAATTTATGAACTGCTTGGTTTGTTTTACCCAAGTAGGATATTTTGTAAATTGTTTTTAAAACTTAATTTACTTTTAGAGACTGTTCCATGTTAGTACATTGATCTGCCTAATTTTAAAAACTACAAAATATTAAAGAATACAAAAAATATCATAATTTATTCAACCATATCCTTATTGTTGAACATTTAAGATAGTTTTAGTTCTTTTTTACACTGTTGCAGAGAATATCCTCATAATTATTGTGGTGTATATGCTCAATAATTCTATAGGGAAGAATCCTGAAAGAGTGATTGTTAGGTCAAATAATATTTATAGCTAAAACAAGTACTTCTAAGAAGTCAGGTACTGTTCCAAGTACCTTACAAGAATTAAAATATCTAATCCTCATGATAACCCTATAAAACAGGTACATTTATTATTACGATTATTCCCATTTTACAAATGGGAAAACTAAGGCACACTTATTTTTACATAATTTACCCAAGTAAATTTACCCAATTTATCTAGTAAATTGCAGTGCCAGGATAAAATATTATTCAAAAAATCTAATTCAGTTTACATGTGCCCACTAATATTACTTAAAGATTAGCAATCTTATATCCTGACCATCTGATTGAAGAACCTTTGGAGGATGTGGTTTAAAAAAAAGAGATGTTGAAAAAGGAGCCAAACCCTTTAGCAGAACAGAAGAAAAAGTTTTTGGTCTCTTGATCCAAGAAATGCCTTGAATTTTGCAGAGTTGGAGAAACTTCAGTAGAGGTTCTTCCTGAATCCTCCAGAGGGCATAGTTGGAACTGAGAAATTATAGCTAGTAGAGGAAAGAGAAGCTTGGGAATTTTTTCATGACTCTACCATGTCTGATACAGAAGATAATTAGAGAAAGTGGTTTACATGGGATATTTTTACTTGACATCTCTGAAATCAGCATCAGACAGCCCTCCCCTGATGATGCCATGCTCTACAAAATTCAAAGAAGGCTGAACAGCACGATGGGAAAAACTACTCTAACAGATGGAGGAAACAAATTAAAGTTTATCTCTGTAACAGCATCAACATTATAACAGTCCCAGGCACCATTCCTTAGCACTTAACATTTTTAATCTTCCAAAGAGCACTCTGAGATAGGTACTATTATTTTCCTTATTGAACAAATGAAAAAACAGATACAAAGAGATTAAATACCTTGCTCAAAATTATTCAGTAAGTAGTAGCACATCTGCTACTTAAAAATCCAGGCTGTCCAGTTAAAAGTCCATATTCTTTATCATAAGATTCCCTCCCCCTCCAAGTATTAAATAATAAAAATATTAATAGAAGACTTTCCTGAAATTAAACATAAGGCAGGAAATTATAATACATAACAAATGTTATTTGTTCATTTGTTACTCACTGAGTTTAACCGATCCTTCCATCCCCAAAAGTACGTTATCACTTTTGATGTCTCTGTGGATTACTTGATTAGCGTGTAAAAACTCCAATGCCTGTAAACACTGAGCAGAAGAAAAACACCTAATAATGAAAGAGCTCCTGAAAAGTATAAGGGAGGTTCACATACAGTAGTTATGGCCTTAGCACTGCTTCTAGTAACCAGCAAAAGACGCTCCAATACTTGCATTTATAAAGAAAAAACATCCTCTAATAGGCAAAGTTATGAAAATAAGATGCCTTAATTACTTAGATCCCTCCCACCCCCTGATCTTCCCCAGAGATATTATTAAATGTCTTTTCTAGTCCTTTCTCTGCCACTGATTAGTTAAAATCCTAACATTGTCACTCATTCTTCAAAGATCTCATTCATAAAATGACGGCTGAGTCTAATTTGCAGGTTTTTTCACAGTTAAATGTCTAAAGATATACAGAACTAAGTAACCAGAGACAGGCTCTTCAGAAATCATTTCAACAGTGAAGAACAAACTTGTGATCATTCCCACATGAATCTGGGATACTCAGAAGTCTGATCAATGTGAGCCACTGAGAAGTGAGTAAGATTCTGGGTGGTCTGGTTTCATTCAGATATTCATCAATGTGACATAAGATTTCTTCTTCATTTCTTCTATTTCTACATCAAGCTATATCCACAACCTGGACACCAATGACGAAAGAACAACTTTCTTCTTATGCCACATTTCAGAAAGCATTGAGTTAAAAAGTAAGTATAACAAAAATGAGATGAGATTTTAAAAATCTGCTTGCCCTAGGGTTCTTTTTTTTTTTTTTTTTTTTTGGGTGACTGGCTGGTAGAAGGATTAACCCTGGGCCCTTGGTTTTTTCAGCACCACACTAGCCAATTGAGCTAACTAGCCAGCCCTGTGCCAATTTTTAATAGCTACTTCTCTGAGCAGACTGTAGATGTCTGTGCTGACTAACCCTCTCTAGACTTCTTTAGTGTTTCTGAATAAAAGCTGAGAGTGTAAATTGTAAGCTTGCTAGTTGTGTTTTTATTTCTTACTTCCATCAGAGTAGAACAACAAATACAGTCTGTAAGTCATTTATACCAACTAAAAATCTCATCCAAAATATTCTGCTATTCATTCAAGGAAAAAACAGATGAACTGAGTTACCACGTTACACTTACCAGGAATTTAATCAGATTCTTCTTTCTTTTCTTTTCTTTTCTTTTTCTTTTTTTTTTTTGGCAGCTAGCTGGTACAGGGACGGAACCCTTGACCTTGGTGTTATCAGCACCACACTCTAACCAACTAAGCTACCCAGCCAGCCCTTAATCAGATTCTTGAAAAGAACAAAGCCCCAGAAAAATACTTGTACAAATAAATATAAACAGACTTCTCAAAATTTAAAAATTTGGCATACGGAAGAAAACCCAAGCGAATGGCAATTAGAAAAACGCCTATAATTAATCTTTACATCAATTATGAAGAAAATGTATCATTAAAACAAATTTGGTTAGCGTGCAAGTTATAACTCCAAGTTCAGGTTCCCATACCAGCCAGCTACCAAAAACCAAACCAAAACAAAACACCAAATTAAGCATCAAATGTACCATTAAACATCATATGTACCATTCTTACATGAACGAAGTTTATAATTCACTATGTATCACTGTAGAATCACTGAAAGCCAAATCATAGAAAACATAGTCTTATAAACTTTTACAATTTTGTCCTTTGTGACAATGATTCTTATGATATGAAGAAAGCAGTATCACAGTTTCATTGACAATAAGCAAACCATTAACCCAAGCCTGATCTGCAGAAAACAGTTAGATATAGAAAGAAGAAGGGCTTGGTTTTGGCTCAGACTTAGGCAGTTTGGCAGAATTTTTACTGGCTTACGCAAATAGAATATCTAGAAACTCATTAACGAATACAAAGAAACAGCCATTTCTTCACCTTCAGTGAGCTCATTAATAAAGCCAGCGACTTACTGATACTTAAGATGAGCATGTATCCTCCTTACATAAGATGGTCCTAGTTTCCACCACTGAGTGATGTATTTTTAATGCCACGCCCTTTTACTCTTGAAAGTGTCCTTTTTGAATGGTTAACTATCATGATCACTCTTAATGAAATTTGCCTGTGAATTTGACTCTTTGAAGGTCCCTACTTTATTCCCAAATTATCTTACACACAAAGGGCTATAACTCTCTTATAGGATAAAATAAAGTAACTTGGAGAACGTGCACAGTGAAAATATCTCATACAATAAAAATTACCTGTGCAGAAAAAATTTCCTTTTTTTCACCTCCTGCTAACGACACATTAACACAACCTATCAAAAAGGGAGCAAACCCACCTCTCTGCATACAGCAGCAATCTGTGCTTCATCCATGCAGGTTTCCGTTACAACATCAGTAAGTGACCCGCCAGCAAGGTACTCCATTACCACAAACAATTCATCTCCCACAAGGTAACTAAAAATGGAACATACAAAATACACTCACATTTTTATTTTTTCAAAACACATGACACTCTATGTAGAAATATTTAAGTGTTAAACACCTAATAATAAAACTAGAGAGCCAATAGATTGAGAGATAGAAAGAAAACTGAAAAGCTGCTATGAAATAGCACAGAAAAATACTGAGGGTCTTTATGATCCTGTATCATTTTAAAGTTGTAGTTTGCCCACAATTGTTGTGAGTGTGTACATAGATTATTCCAATTATAATAACCCAATAAGGAAAGAATTATTAGTCCTGTTTTACAGATAAAGAGATGGAGTCCTGCAGAGGTTAAGTAACTCACCCAAGGTCACAAAGCTAGTAAGTGACAGAACCAGAATCTGAAGCCCATGATTCCAAAGCCTATCTTAATCACAACGGTATGCTGAACTGAAATACTATTTTAAAAAGTATGGGCCGGCCCGGTGGCGCACTGGATAAGTGCGCCGCTTGGGAAGCGCGGCGGCGCTCCCGCCCGAGGGTTCGGATCCCACATACAGACCGGTTCCCGCTCACTGGCTGAGCGAGGCGCGGGAGCAACACCGAGGGTTGTGGTCCCGTTGCCGGTCCCTGGTCCGGTACGGGGGCAACACTGAGGGTTGTGATCCGTTGCCGGACACGGAAAAAAGACAAAAAAAAAAAAAAAGTAGGGAAATATACCTGAAAAGTTTATTTCTATGAAAATGGTCCCATAACTAGGGTTAGAGTCTCAAAATATATTATTTTTTCCTCATTCTAAACAAATTTAAACATGAAAGTAAGAAAACCAGCTATAATCTTCAGTACAACCACTATTATTTTCATTCACTTTCTTTTTTGGCGGCTGGCTTGTACAGGGATCCAAACCCTTGACCCTGGTGTTACAAGGCAACATTCCAATCAACTGTGCTAACTGGCCAGTCCACCATTTTCATTCATTTTCTACTAGTCTTCTTTCATTTATATAATGTGATTACCTTAAAAAAAAAAACACCATAGCTGTAATAATATACGAATAATAATAAATAATAAATAATATCTAGTCCGCTTTTTTTCTGTTTTTTAACATCAATTCCTAAGCTAAGTGAGGTTGTGATAGACATATACAATTTACCCATGAATAACAGCATATGAAATAAAAATTAATATAAAAGTTTAAAATCTATGTGGCTAGTCACCTGACAGTCAAGACACGAATCAGCCAACAGTTCCTTAATGTTTCTGCTTTGAATCATTTGCAATAAATATAAGCACTATCAGTTATGCCCATCACTTAATTGCCTTCTTTCACTTGCCAAGTGATATCCTTGTAAAAGGGGACCTTCAGTTTTAGAAACTGAAATGTGCCATTTTTACCTTTCTTCTTCCTCCTTTAAGCTCACTTCTCAGCACTGACATTTTACTCTAATCTAACTAACGTGGCTAGCGCCACCAAACCTTGAGACTTAAAATTTCCTATTTTTATTGCAATATTTAAGAAAAATTCTTATTTACCTGTCCAAGAAGTTAACTATGTTGGGATTCTTCAATTCTTTCATCACCAGAATCTCATTAATGATCAATTCCTTTTTTGGTTGTTTCTGTAGATTAATCTGTTTGATAGCAACCTATAATAAAAACAGAATTCAGAGAAAAAAATAAACAGGTTTCCTAATTTTCTTAGAAAATTATAAACATCAATCAATTAATAATTTAATTTAATGTACATATATTGCAAAAAGAGAATATAACTTACGCATAGGTAGTACTTTTACTTCCACACTGTCTATGCATAATGCTTTGCAATACATTGAGCCTAAATATTTTTATGTTTATCTTGAAATTAATTAACCAACCCAAGGTCAGTCTAGTACCAGGGATTAATCCTCTTTTCATTCCAAGTTGGAAAAATAATTTTTTTTTTTTTTTTGGCGGCTGGCCAGTATGGGGATCCAAACCCTTGACCCTGATGTTATAACGCCACACTCTAATGGAAAAATAATTTTTTTTACATCTGCTTATTTATGACACTAAACTCATAAATCCTTCCTTGCTCCCTTTAAGGAGAGAAGCACCATAAAATTACATAGAGCAATTCTTACAATATATTCAACTTAAAAAGAGATTCCTATAGGTTATTCTCAGCTTTATCTAGTTTCTTCCCATATGAAAAGCTAATGGTAATGTCCAGAAGTATGAAAAAGTAGCTACCTCTTGTCCCAGTGCCACATCAGTAGCAGTGAAAACTGTACCAGAAGCCCTAGGGGGAGAGAAAACACAACCAGATTTAAGGTTTATAAATCACTATCATTTATAATATCCAAACACTTTAAATCTTGAACAATTGAAAAAGGATTAAAGAACATTTAAGACTTAACATCTTTAAAGGTTGGGAAAGTTTATAAATCACTATCATTTATAATATCCAAACACTTTAAACCTTGAACAATTGAAAAAGGATTAAAGAACATTTAAGACTTAACATCTTTAAAGGTTGGGAAAATGAAATGAAGGGGAAAAAAAAAAAAGATGTAATCCATGTGGCCAAACTTATGTTTGGAATATTTCAGACCTACAAAAATACAGGAGAAAAAAGATATACATATTAAGAGGGGGAATATAAACTACACTCATGGATACACTCCTCTGCTTAAGGTTCCTGTGCCCCCTCCCTCCTCCCAAAGTTTATCCTGTATTTAATGTGCATCATTTCCATGCATTTATCCACACTTTTAATTACAAAGGACATACGTATGTATCTCTATAGAATAGACTTAAGACTAATTTTTAAACCTTATATAATTTCATTTTATGTATTTTTTTGCAACTTGCTTTTTTTATTCAACATTGGATTTGTGATGGTCATCCATATGGACAGGCATTAATCTCATTCATTCATTATTATTATTAATATTATTATTATTATTCAATATACAATTTATCCATTTACATGCTCAAAAATATTAAGATGTTTTTCAATTTTTTGTTATTAAAACCAGTGCTGCAATTCAATTTAGTTGTTAAAGAGAAATTCATAAGGTGGTTTCAATAAAGGCATAAGTTCTCTTTCTAAATTCACAGATCACTTTCTAGAGGTCAGTAACATTAAAAATTCAAGATGCTCAATTACTCCCAAGCAACAGAAAAAGAGTTTAGTTAGTGTAGTTTACGGGACAAAATCAGAAGATCAGCAACTTACTCTGTGAAATGATTTAAATGCATGTTTTTATTACCCATAATTCTGCAGTAAATATTTCTGCTGTCTATTAAAATTATGGGCAACTTTTCCATCTGACTAATACCTTACCAACTAAGGAAAATAACATTTAAGAAGAAACAATGATGAAAAGTCATTGCTATCTAGTACAGTGTTTTAACAGCATCTAGAAATAACTGCATCACTTATTTACACAAATCCCTAAGGGTATCATTCATAGAATAATATACGGTAAGTGCTCAATGTTCGCACACTAAAGAGATATCATGCTATATACCTAGGAAGTACTGGATATCATGGTAATATCATCAGAAACACTTACCCTTGTCCAATTTTTTCATATCTTGTATATTTTTTCTTAGGGTCACCTATGCTTACAATAGTTCCTATTTTAAGCAAAAACAACAAAACGTTGGAGGTTCAGTCAAGCATTTTAAGTGCAAATTACTTTTGATATCAAAATTCCTTTTAATATACTCCACTGATTTTAGAACCGTGGTTTTCAAACATAACATAAAATAACGCATGTTTTAAACACAAAACACTAAAAAACCTTAAGGATCAGAAGCAAGAAGACACATTATTTCCATTAGGTTAAACTTCCTAACTAATCACTTTCTCAAGAATTCACACTGTGGAATGACCAATTGTACTAGTTTGCCTGAGACTTAATGGGGCTCTCCAGATGAGGGATGTTCAGCTTTAAAATCAGGTAATTCCTGGGGAAACAAACAAATTGGTCACTGTACTTTTCTACTCCACTGAAATGTATTAAACTAGTGATAAGTTATGAAACTATTTACTATCAGAAATAATAAGTAAATGATATCCAAATGAATAACTGTAAATAGCTTTTCTCTTTTAATATATCTTCTGTCTTTCAATATATTTAGGAAACCACTTATTACTATAAAGATTACTCTAATATGAACTAATCATATATCTATATTAGGAAAGTTCAAAGTCATGACTAAGAAAGAGGTTTTAAAATTAGGAAGTTGGACATAAAACCATAACTATTATTATTACTGGTAAGTCAAAACATAAGAAAACCACATAAAATTTTCACTCACTCAAGGTATAGAAGACAGGGACAATACCAAGGAAACTCACATAAATAATTTTATGTAGGTGCCCAACCCCAAGTCAGCCATTTAGGTTCAAGCCAAGAAACACAGAAACAGGATCAACAATAAGATGCTATGGGCAAAAAGATATAAAAAAGATAGGGGATGTGATAGCTAAAGGTCACCACTGAACTGTGACAATTACCGTTCTAGCTTATTCATTTTTTAAAAGTAACAGCTCCCCTAAAAGAAGGAACACTATTCAGGTATAACTTGTTTCATTATGCTTCACACTTCACTGTGCTTTGCAGATACTGCATTTTTTTTTTTAAACAAATTTTAAGTATGTGGCAAGCCTGCTTCTAGCAAGTCTATTGGTGCCATTTTTCCAACAGCACACACTCACATCATGTCTCTGCATCACATGTTGGTAATTCTTGCAATATTTCAAACTTTTTCATTATTACTATATCTGTTGTGGTGATCCGTGATCTTTTATGTTACTATTGTAATTGTTTTGGGGCACCACAAATCATGCTCATATAAGACAGCAAACTTAACTGATAAATGTGTGTTCTGACTGCTCCACTGATCGACTTTTTCCCCTATCTCCATCTTTTCTGGGCCTCCCTATTTCCTGAGGCACAACAAAATTGAAATTAGGCCAGTTAATTACCCTACAATGGCTTCTAAAGTGCTCAAATGAAAGGCAGAGTCACACATCTCTCACTTTAAATCACAAGCTACAAATGATTCAGCTTAGTGAGGAAGGCATGCCGATTTTGGAGATATGCTGAAAGCTAGGCCTCCTGGGCCAAACAAATGCAAAAAAACAAAAAATGTTCTTTTTTTTTTTTTTTTTAAATAAAGATGACCGGTAAGGGGATCTTAACCCTTGACTTGGTGTTGTCAGCACCACGCTCAGCCAGTGAGCGAACCGGCCATCCCTATGTGGGATCCGAACCCGGGGCCTTGGTGTTATCAGCACCACACTCTCCCGAGTGAGCCACGGGCCGGCCCCACAAAAAATGTTCTTTAAAGAAATTAAAAGCGCTACTCCAGTGAACACACAAATAGGAAAGTGAAACAGCTTTCTTGCCAGTAGAGAGCAAGTTTTAGTGGTCTGGACAGAAGATCAAACCAGGTGTGTCATTCCCTTAAGCCAAAACCTAATCCAGAGCAACCCCCCCAACCCCCTCACTGCTCAAACAAACAAACAAAAGAAAAACAGGGCAAGGCCCTAACTCTCTTTGATTCTATGAAGGATGAGAGGCAAGAAGCTGCAGAAGAAAAGTATGAAGCTAGCAGAGGCTGATTCATGACGTTTAAAGAAAGAAGCTGTCCCCCTAACATAAAAGTGCAAGGTGAAGAAGCCAGTGCTGATATCGAAACTGTAGCAAGTTACCCAGAAGATCTAGCTAAGGTAACTGATGAAGGTGGCTGCACTAAACAGACTTTCAGTATGGACAAAACAGCCTTCTATTGGAAGATGATGCCATCTAGGTCTTTCATAGCTAGAGAGAACTTAATGCCTGGCTTCAAAGCATCAAAGGACAAGCTGACTCTGTTAGGGGCTAATGCAGCTGGTGACTTCAAGTTGAAGCCAGTATTCATTAACCCTTCTGAAAATCCTACAACCCTTAAGAATTATACTAAATCTACTTTGCCTGTGCTCTATAAATGGAACAACAAAGCCTAGTTGACAGCACATCTGTTTATAGCATGGTTGACCGAATATTTTAAGCCCACTGTTGAGATCTACTGCTCAGAAAAAAAGATTTCTTCAAAATATTACTGCTCACTGACAAGGCACTCGGTTGACCAAGAACTCTAATGGAGATGTACAAAAATGATGTTGTTTTCATACCTGCTAACACAACACCAACTCTGTAGCCCATGGATCAAGGAGTAATTTTGACTTTTGAGTCTTATCATTTAAGAAATACATTTTGTTAAGGCTAGAGCTGCCCACAAATACTGATTCCTCTGATGGAGCTAAGCAAAGTAAACTGAAAACCTTCTAGAAAGGATTCACCATCTAGATGCCATTAAAAACATTCGTAGTTCATGGGAGGAGGTCAAAATACCAACATTATCAGCAGTTTGGAAGAAGTTGATTCCAACCCTCATGAATTACTTTGATTCAAGACTTCAATGGAGAAAGTCACTGCAGATGTGGTGGAGATAGCAAAAGAACTAGAATTAGAAGTGGAGCCTTAAGATGTGACTGTATAGCTACAATCTCCTGACAAATGAGGAGATGCTTCTTATGGATAAACAAAGAAAGTGCTTCCTTGAGATAGAATCTACTCATGGTGAAGATGATGTGAATATTGTTGAAATCACAACAGATGATTTAGAATATTACATAAACTTAGTTGATAAAGCAGTGGCAGGGTTTGAGAGGACTGACTCCAATTTTGAAGGAACTTCTACAATGGGTAAAATGCTATCAAACAGCATCACATGCTACAGAGTAATCTTTCGTGAAAGGAAAAGTTAATCGATGTGGTAAACTTCATTGTTGTCCTATTTTAAGAAATTGCCACAGCCACCCCAAACCTTTAGCAACCACCACCCTGATCAGTCCGCAGCCTTCAACACTGAGGAAAGACCTTCCACCAGCAAAGAGGTCAACTTGCTGAAGGGTCAGATGATCATTAACATGTTTTAGCAATAAAGTATTTTTAAATTTAGGCATGTACATTTTTTTTTTGTAGACATAAAGCTATTCCATACCTAACAGGCTACAGTATAGCATAAACACAACTCTTATCCGCACTGGAAAACCAAAAAATTTCGGGCCGGCCCGGTGGCGCACTGGATAGTGCGCCGCTTGGGAAGCGCAGCGGCGCTCCCGTCCGAGGGTTCGGATCCCACATACAGACCGGCTCCCGCTCACTGGCTGAGCGAGGCGCGGGAGCAACACCGAGGCTTGCAGTCCCGTTGCCGGTCCCCGGTCCGGTACGGGGGCAACACTGAGGGTTGCGATCCGTTGCCGGACATGGAAAAAAGACAAAAAAAAAAAAAAAAATTTGTGTGACTTGCTGTACTGCAATATTCACTTTGTTGCATTGATCTGGAACTAAACCCATATATACAGGCCTGTATATGCTTGTAGAATACCAAAGTAAAAGTAGGTTTATACTTGAAAGCAGTAAGATATCAACAGCAAATAAATGTAGAGCACATAAATGTTTAAAACAATCCATCTATAAAGTATTTTTTTCCTTGATCCCTCTAGGTCAGTGCTCTTCATAACTATAGTTGCTGAAGACTTGTCATCAGAAATTATTGCAACCCTCTCATTGGTACTGTTTACATTATTTCCAGTGCTCAATACAGGCTAATGGTAGTTGCTAGATTAAAAGGAGGTAAAGAAAAATATATTTTTCCCTGGAATAGATTTTATGCCCACACACATCTACAGAGAAAGGTCATTTTGTTTAGTTATTTAGGGACGTTTCTGTAGGTTCATACTGAGAAGCTATAGGTATGCATAACATATACAGACTTCATTTAATAAGGTTTCCAACTATGTCTCTTGGGGAATAAGTACTGCTCTCAAAGGTACCGACTATTGCAGAGACACTGCTCACTAGTCAACAAATAATACCTTTCGAATGTACTAATAAACAATTAAAAAAGAGTATTATTTTGGCTTTACTAGATTTTAATTGAAGCTATTGTTTCTGTAAGAAAACAATTTATTCTTTATGCCTTAAGTCCAAAAATATAAAGTATAAATTAAAATCGACTTGGGCCAAATGTTTTGAGCTTTTAATAAATTAAGAATAATGTAAAATTTAGGTACATACTTAATTTCTCCATAATCTCTTCATCTGTCATTTTGGTCTTCTTTTTCTGTTTGTCTGAGGACTTGACACCATCAACATTAGAATCACCAACTGGTGCAGGAATAGGGTCAATTACAGATCGTGTATAAATCTGTGGAGACACAGTCCATTACTAAGATTTGAAGAAAAGTATTTTCAGATTCTTACTGGCACACTATTCAGATTTTCTTTTTTTTTTTATTTGTAGCTGGCCGGTAAGGGGATCCAAACCCTTGACCTTGGTGTTACAAGCACCACACTCTCATCAAGTGAGCCAGCCGTATTCAGTTATTTTTTAAACAAAACTAAGCTGTCTCTTTCATTGTTCTAACGAATGAGAATAATACTTTCAGTCTATAAAAGACATGGAACTAAAAAAAAAAAGTGGAACATTTTTCTTTGTCATAGCATGTGTATATTTTAAAAATTTGTCTAGCAAAAGAGCAGGTCCATGAATAAAACTGAAGTAGCCAGATCTAAAATTATGGTTAACAATGTAGAAAAAGAAGCACAGTTTAAAATCATGTTTTTACTACAAGAGATAAATAAAATGTAAAAGAATAGGAACCTCGATGTTGGAACAACTATTACTACTTCCCACAAAAATTTTTACACAAACAATATGTTTGTGTAAAAACCATTTGATTTCAAACAACCAGTTCTAAGGGATTAAAAATATAGAGCCCTCTATCATTAGATCAGGATCCAATGGCAGTACCCAGAGTTTTGCCTTCTCACTGTGCCACCACCATATCACATTCCACTGTGCAGCACCTTCTCCATAATCTACTCGTATTAGCACAGGAAGAAGGATGGCACTTGGAGCAGTTCCTCTTTCTGGCTCCATCTAAGGTCATTACTGTTAAAATTCTCCTTTACCCGGTTAAAAATTATATTTTCAACTGCCTCTTGAATGACATCAAGGCTTTGAGGGAAATATAAAATGGAAGATAAAATACATATTCCAGGTAAGAGGAAAGATCTGTTTTTTATATAATAGTTATCTACATTAAGATAAACAGAGAAAGCCAGAGAAATAGATTAAATTTCTGGAAAAGAAGATGTAATACAGAAAGAAAAAAAACAGTGAGTTAAGTATTTTAACTTTTAAAGAAACCATGAGATTTTAATTTATCCATACTAAAAACTTTTAAATTGAGGACTTTTTCAAGTTAATTACTGGAAGTCAAATACAGATTGCTGTTTTTAAAAACACACATGCATAGATACACACAGCCCAGTTCACTAATCAAACACTCACTGATTTTGTATGATCTGGCCGTGGGGCAATGACAGGAGGAGCAGTTTCTTCATCATCGTCATCTTCCTCTGTTACTACTGCTGATGTTTCTGATCCCTTGGTATTCAGCTGCATTTATCATATGAGCAAATTAAGGAAGATAAGTCATATAGAATAGGTTAAAATGTGACTCACTTGTTCTGAACAAGATTTTTCTTTAATAGCTCATTTCAAAATGATTAAATCTCACTAGTTCTACAATAATCATTTAAATGAAAAGGTGATTCTTATGAGTTATGGAAAAGTAAGTTCATGAAATATATGTATATGATGAATAACAAATATTCTTAAGAAAGAACTATATATACCCTCTAAGTAAGCACACATGTATAATGTCCTAAAAACCAAAAGCAAAGATACTCTGGGTTTTGTATATATCAGAGTCATTTTGAGACATTTAAAATAGTCACATTCACCAGAAAAAGTTGTGGCTAATGAAGCAAAAGGGGAAGGAATTAACCTTTATATGGAGCTTATTACATTCCACTTATGTGCTAGGTATGCACTTTACATGTTATTTTATTTAGACCTCATACAACTCCAGGAGACTCTTTCCTCCCAATTCAGGAACTGAAAAAACAGTGACTGTTTCCAGGAGATAACATGTTTACATGATAAAAAAGTTTCAGACCACTCTGAAGACTAACAAGTTTCAATTGTTTAGTATGCTATAGTCTATATTCAGTAGAATGGTACCAGAAAAGAGATTTTTTGGGGAGGTTGGGAGAATATGCTAGCAAGTTCTTTGTATTCATGTTTGCATATAAACATTACCAAAAGTAGCTAAACTGCTCTGAAGGTCATTATAAATTTTGGTTACTTTAAGTATCATATCAAGGAAATTCTATTAATATGGCTTCTTCAACTAATCAAGTTACTAGCTAAAAACATATATTAAATAGTTATTTATCTCTGATGGCTGTAATTTATCCTAGAAGGCAAAATAAAAACTGAGACTTGTTTTGGGTAATCTAAACAGAGCAAGTGCTACAAGAAATAACATTATTAACTTACTGCTGGTGTTCCAGAAGGGAAGCCATCTTTCTCTGAATATAAAGCAGAAAATAATGTTAGGTTAAACAATTAAAGAAAACTTTTATACAATAAAAAGGAAAAAAATTAAAGCACAGCAAGTGAAATGCTGTTAAGCTGATTTCATCTCAAGTTGAATGAACTCTTAAAAATGACAATACTAGAATTCAAACAAGAATTTATGTAAGACCACGCTAATGAATCATAAAACATAATGGAACTCTGTAAATTTACCCCAAATCACTGAATTATATACTTAAAATGGGTGAACTTTTATCACATGTAAATAAATCATCCTTCAATAAAGTTACTAAAATTTATTTGAAATTATACCTGTCAATCTGTATTCATTAAAACAAATTTTCTCCCAAAAACTGCCTACTGAGGAACTTAAAGCAGCCATTCAAACAATGGCAACTGTGCAATGTAAAATTCTTGACAAGACTTTAATATGTTATATAGGATGAAAAGAATCTACCATTTTTTGGTCAAACATTAAATACTAGTTTACATAGAGTTACTAGTCGACACAAAAGTACTAGGGACAAGTCTGACCTTTTCCTAAGGATGTACTAGAATAAAAAGATCAAGATCACTTGCAGAAATGTCTTTATTTCTTTGAGCATAGCCCTTATGTCTGTGAGGATGCAAACAATTAAGAACGATTAATTAAAAACACATGTATGGTTTTAGCTCAATCATACTACTTTTAAAAAACTACATGTATGACTTCAGGGACAGAAAAATATATTAAATGACATCCTGCAGCTGTAATTAGCAAAAACCACAATGAGAGAAATAGGACAAATGGTCTTATTTCTTTAATAAATAAATTGCAAGGAAAAGACAGGGTAAGAACCAGTGTGAAGGAGGGGAAGCCTAAATATCAAAAGAGATTCAAGAGATCTATCAACCAAGTGTAATGTATGAACTTTATTCTGATCCTGATGTGAACAAATAAATTACTTTTTAAAATCCACTCTACTCCAACTGTTACCCAATGATATTCCAATTCTGATGTACAAATCCTTTTCATTCTTTTTTTTTCCTTTTTGTCTTTTTTACTGACGTTAACGGGATCGCAACCCTCAGTGTCACGCCCGTACCAGGGACTGGCAACGGGATTGCAACCCTCGGTGTTGCGCCTGCACCACGCTCAGCCAGTGAGCGGGAACCGGTCTCCACATGGGATCTGAACCCTCGGCGGGAGTGCCGCCGCGCTCCCAAGTGGCGCACTCTCCAGTGCGCCACCGGGCCGGCCCAAATCCTTTTCATTCTAATACTTATTTTATATATTTATATTTTTGATGAGTTTCAATTTTTGAGTAAAGTTAAACATTTTTTCTTCAAAGTCTGCTCATTTATAGTAAAACAACCTTCCTCCCATCCCACTAACAATAAATATATTTCTAATACGAACATGTCTATAAATCAGCATATTTTCCTTCTATTGCTAGAAGTCATTCAAAAGCAGTGAGGAATTAAAAAAAAAAAAAAAAAAAAAAGCCAAAACATCCATCAACTCCATTTCTGGCAAAATTATGCTTACGAGCTGCCCCAATCAGTTTACAAAAGGCAGAATCTATGCAGGGGAAAAAGTAGACGAGAACCATAGTTTACGTCTTTATTTTTCCAGAAGTAATCTTTTTATCTAGAAGTGCTTCACAACTCTCCATCTGATTCAGCCTTTTACCACTGTCTCATGTCTTACCAGGAGGAGTAAAGCTCAGATACTTTTGCTTAACTGTGTTGGAGTCGTAGAACTTTAAGACATCCAGCACAGCCTGAGGATTCTTCTTTTGCTCTAGTTTGGTGATATTGGAGGTCTGTAATAATCGAGCCCATTGTTCTGGCATGCCCTAACAAAAAGATATTCAGAAATTAGTTGTGGTTTGAACTGCTCTCATAAAATCAATTTCCAGAGATAAATGGCAAAATACATAAATCAATCTGCATAATTGTAGGTTTGACTAAATTCTAAAAGGTCTACTTTTCTAAATATCTGTTTTTCTAAATCTACTTCACAAAATTATAATTAATAGACTCAGTTCCCTAGGAAAAAGATATATCCAACCACTAACACTTTTATAAAAAGTAAAAAGCAGTAAGAATTCATAGTTAACAGATGGATAGAAAAGCTAACTTCTTTTTTTTTTTTCTTTTTCTTTTCTTTTTTTTTAAAGATGACCGGTAAGGGGATCTCAACCCTTGGCTTGCTGTTGTCAGCACCACGCTCAGCCAGTGAGCAAACCGGCCATCCCTATATAGGATCCGAACCCGTGGCCTTGGTGTTATCAGCACCGCACTCTACCGAGTGAGCCACGGACCGGCCTGAAAAGCTAACTTCTAAACTTAATACTGAAGGAAAAGGTTTGAGTGCTGCTATAATGTTATAAATGAGCCCCAACTAGGTAAACTTACAGTGAATTCTCCAGTGACAGCATCAAAGCCAACATGGATGGTGTGCTCAAAATCAGATGGAGGAGAAATTTCTGGCCGTTCCTTTTCTTTCTTTTTACTTCCTAGAGGGCATTAAAAAAAAAAAAATCAGCCAACTTAAACAAGGTTAATAAAAGCACTTATAATCATGTTTATGTTTTCCTTAAAACAGATTAGGAACAGGGTTATTCTAGAAAAGAGATTTCTCCTAAAAGCACTGGCTGATAGGAAACTGGTAAGTGAAGTAAAATAACCTATCCTGCCGTAAAGCAGGGGTGGGGATGACCAGTGTCCTTATAAAGAACAACATGAATCACCAGCACCAGGCCTGAATAAAAGGGTACAAGGCAGATGAGACATCCCCTTAGAGCTCTGGTTCTCTCATAAATAAAAGGCTACACTTCAGATGTTGAGCAATTTGGAAAAGAAAATATATCAAACTAAGTTTTTATCCAGCTATATGCATCCAGGAAGTAAAATTTACTTTACTATCACTATGTAGATAATATATACTGTGAAGACAAGTCATTTACAAATGCCATCTCTCTTTTCAGCCATCTCTCCCTTTTTGTGCAGGCTGAGTACTTCCTTTTTATTGGAATTAATAACTGCCACATTTTAAAACTACCCAGGTTTTTTCATGGTCCCACTGTAAATTATTTTGCAACATTTCTGCCACACACGATCAATCCTATTCTCTATAAATTCAAACACAACAGTTCCTTTTTGCCCCCTGGCCACCTCTCTCTCAGATCCTCCTGCTCTAATGTGTAGTAGCTTATGCCTAGGCTTCCTTCCTAGCTACTGTCCTAAGATACTCCTTTACTTTGACCCTGTGCTACAATTTATTTTCTGGATCCTACGTTTTCTTCCTCTTTGTTTACCATTTTGTTTTTTTTCCTTTTTTTTTTTTTTTTTTTTTTTTTTTTTTTTTTTTTTG